ATCTTCTGTTCTGGTTGATTTTCGGGAACCAGTTTCCTCGTCTGCAGATTATGTCAGTGACCGATTTCGATGACAAAAGAATAGACAAGCATACAACCCTCGGGCCCAAAATGGACGAAATAACCCTTCCGGATAGGATTGATGGAACCTTCAAAAAATAAAAGGTGATCTAGAGTCTATGGCCAATGGCACCGTTCCCTAGTAAGGACCATCCGATTAACATCACAGTCTGGCGCCTTCATGATCGATTCCTCTGATATCTGAGAAATCCGTAATAGTATATCCAAGTTGTATTTGTTTGTTGTTGTTGTGGTGGTGGTGGTTGTGGTTGTGGTGTTAGTGGATATGTTCATGCTGCTGATGACAGTCTTGTTTCTCCTTTTACGACGGTTCTTACTGTTGTGTTGGTTGTCTTTCCAATCGGTTCTATTCAACCTCATTCGTCTATCCCGATTTGCCCTGCATTGTATCCATTTGGGTTATCTCACAAAGTATCTGTCTACNATCCTCCTTCCCGTGGCATCTTTGAGAGAGAGAGATGAACCGGGCGTGTACAGCTGAAATCACGTGAAATTATCATTGGATAGCGACTGACAGGTCTAAATACAGACATCTGAATAGTGCACAACTGCAGACCAATACCTCTTCGATATAATTCATATTTCAACGGAATAGCAAAATAATGTGCACAGAAAAACCCTCGTTTACCCAGGTGCATCTGCTAGGCGATCATGTGTGACAAGCATGATAATGAGCATTAAATATGCCAGGATTTGTGGAACCGTATATGGTGGTACGCACGATTGTTCAAGTGGGCTGAAAATTAACCACTCTTCACATGATGGAAGAGGCTGAGTCAGATTTTTCCTCATGAAGTAAACTATGAAAAACCTGACCCATAATTTTTACTGGGGTACCTGTTTTTTTACTCCCATCAAGTGTAACTACATTGAAGTTTATGTATATATTTTATCCTACCCACCCACTATCTCATTCTGAAAACAGATGTGAAATATCCGTTCAGTGGTTAAATAATTCACCAATGTATCACATTGGTGTGAGGATGTCAGCCTGATGTTTTATACAACACACACACAAACAGACAATTGACCTGTCATGCAAGTGTCCACTAGCACCTGTCCCCTTCATCCAGCACAGCTGACTCAGCAGTATCCTCCTGGGCTAAGATTTGTATTCTGGAATGGATTGTTTTTTCCTTTCACTGCCAACACTACTACCAGAACTACCTACCAATTTTGGAAAGTGTTGGAAAAGACCACAAAATAATTCTTCACATTGGTAAACTTTGGTAGACAGATTGCTGTATAACTGTGGGTCTGTGTACCTCCCCACTCAACAATCCACCCTACAATAGGGGCATTTCACAGCTCCAGATTAAAGGGTCATACGGAAAGTTTCAACGGAGCAGTACGTTCTTGATGACACTCATCCCCTTCTGCATGCATCCTCCTGGTGTGAGGTTAGTTCCCAACTTGAGGGACGACGTTTAGCCCTACCTGATGTTTATGATAGCAATTGGCATTTTTCACCCCAACCAAGATATGACAAACGTGATTAGAACATTTTGCACGGGCATATTCAAGAACTGGTCGCTGTGGTCGTAAAACTTCAATAATTCCTTTAAAAATGTATCCTTTTCTTGTGCCACTTCAGATTATTGTTACTGATAACTCTACCTCGACAACTGCCACTTCACAAAATCCGGTGTCTTTGCATGCTGATCTTACGAAGTCAAATAAGGCCCTTGCGATTTCAGAGACATCATTCCATTGGTGTAATGCTTAGATAAGAAAAAAACAAGTAACAATATATATATCAAAATGGTAAAAGCAGTGCTTCGTGAAGTGGCAGTGACATGAAAAGCGGTGATTTTCGTTTTACGCCACACGCGTGTTTGGATAAATTTCCTCTTTTTCGGTTTAGTGGGGTGAAGAAATCGGGCGAATGTATAACAGATTTCCGCACTCGCTTCACCAGTTCACTCTTCGAAGAGGGGATCTTTATGGCGTAAAAACCACTGATTCCGATAAATATATGTCTTGGAGTTCAGGGCTGTTGACTTTCATCACATCTGAAGTCTTAGTCAGGCAATTGGCTATGACCAACCGAGAATAATTCTACCGCTGACTGCATCACACTCTTAATTCGGGCCATGGAATGCCTGAGGAGGGGTTTCTTTCAGCTGCACTACAAAAACAGTCGTTAAAGATCTTTAAGTCAGAAAACCAATTACATTTATTATCGATTTATCTTTTCAAACGAAACTCATAACCAGCAGTGGTGAAGCCTGTTGGTAATGCAGCATCCACATGAAACTGAAATCATTCTTTAAATAAATGAACTGTGCACCTCTCCGATATAGTTCAGTAATATATCTGAAGTTACTTTTTTGTGCTGAATTTTTCCAACCCACTTCTAAAATGTGATTCAGAAGTGAATTAAATGAACTGGGAAAATGTGGCTGTGTTTATCGCTCGTTCCACTCTCTGATTCCTAACAAAACTTAACACGGTTCTATCAAATCGTATAGGCTGATTTCTTGGATCCACCAACCCCATAACAGGACATTTTATCTGATATCTAGTAATGCTCATTAACTGTTATACCGTTTGATATTATCGCTACGAGTGAAAGCTGCCATACTGATAAAAACGGAAAAGAAGCCATAGAGCTAAAAGTACATTATTTATGTTTATAATAAATGGCTAAATTCGATAAACTGGCCGTTGTTTTATTGATGATGATAATATATATATATAGCACCAGCTTGTAGACAAGCATGGTACCAACCCCACAACAATAATAATAACAATAATAGGGTGCATGTGGACTGGAATACAGAGCAAAGTGGAAACAAGATGACACAGTAAAACAGGAAAAATGGTAGATAGCTGGAATAAAAAAGTAAAATTTTGTGTTTCACCGTACGCTTTTTGACATTTTTTGTGTTGTGATAATGATAACAATAGGGTGCACAAATATAAAGCTCATCGTCATGAGCAATAGAAGATACACTCTCCAGTTACACATTCAGTACTTTTGTGTTGATGAAACTATGAATGTTTCGTCATTTTTTATAGTGTTGCTTTATTCTGTACGAACTTAGAGACAACAGATCATATGCGTTGTTATAGTCGCATGAGTTAAACACAAGAATAACCTTATTTCACTTCGCCAAGAGTAGCTCAACGTTCAGCCATCGGCCGAGTCACTCAGTTTGATGGTTCCGAATCCCAACCCAAAGTCCATGCAGGGACGCAAAAAGGACCAGTCAGCTGCTATTTAGTTCTCGCTGACACTCATGATTTGGCACCTGTTCCCGTTTAGCACCAGAAATCAACCCCCGACTATGTTGAACTCTAAACCATTAATTGATTAGTTCATGCTACCAATGGTTCATGATAGGGGCTCCCGTCGGATCTCATTGAATGTTCTGCTAAGTTGAGTACAGTAATGATTTCATGTGCCTCTATAGGCCTATATTCCGTAGCTCCCGAAAACGCTATTTGAAAACAGAGATCGCTTCGGGTACAACGTGCAGAAACCTGTGCTTCGCATTTGTCAACTAATCAGAGGAAAAAAGATGAATAGGTAAATTCATAATGATATAGAATAGTTTCTCTTTCTTTTCCCGACTTCTTCTACAAATGAAGAAAGAAGCGAAATTAAACGAAAAACTGATTACAGCAACAGAATAAAGACATACAATCCAGGCAAACCGGAGTTGTGTGAATGGTGAGTGGGTGCCATAACCAGATCACCCGGTATCTCTAACCGTCCAATAAACTGATTCCTCGGTCCTCAATCGAAAGCCTAACGCAGCCCAAATGACCAAGTCGCATGGTCAAGACTTTAATCAGTTCACATGATATGACCACTCGTGACGTTTTCCAATTTCTATCTGCTCCTGTAATTGCTGTTCACTGAAGATGCCTATGCGAGCTTAACCAACTTCAGTTCTCCAAGCTTCAGCTCAAAATAGTCTAAGACAAGCTCTGAAAGGAGCACTGCCCGAAGATGTGCCTTCTAAAAGCTCGGTTGTATAGTTTGCCCGTTTTTTCTTGATATTTCAGCAGGTTTGTTCTGGTTTATGTTAACCTCTGTGACACCTCTTCAAACCATAGAACCCTAATTTGACCCTGACGGATCAGAGATTCAAAACTCACCGAACTGTCGGATGTAGTAAATAAACACCTGAAGAAACTGAAGCATTTAAAACTACCGATAGTAAAGCGAACCCTTCGGTTAGGAGTTGTTATAAAGTAAATACGAATTTACAATTTAGAAAAACCTATTTATTTCGGTTGGATAAATGTGAAAAACGGCAAATAAGTGTCCCAACACATATTTGTGCATTGTTTGATCGAGGATGCAGACACGGATCCACTGCATATCCCTCTAATCCCAGGAATATGTTAGAAATCTCCTGTGAAATCATTTGCTGGACCAATTTATGTTTAAAATACAATCATGGTGGTTGGAAATTCACGAGAGGATTCACTATGTGGATGAATAAGCCCCAGTTCTTTTGCGCTAAGCCGTGCGGAATATACGCAATTTTTCACTTTAATTCAAATGAACCACTTCATTCTGTTTTTCTATCTTACAGATTCGTTATGACGGAGAGGATTTCACTAACTAAGCGTTAGCAACCGAATGCAACATGGGCTAAGGGCAATCCAGGTCAGAGGTCTGAGGCAGCAACCGGGAATCACATATTCCCTGAGGGCTCAAGGTTAAATGCAATGCATTTGTGAATATCTGATGAAAAGAAGCGACAAATAGTTGTCTGGATAGATTCGTCTCCGGTCAATATGAGTTATTCATGAAATTCCAGCAAAATTTGGACAGCTTCCCAGTGATTTTTCATCTACAACGAATAACCAACAGATCACGGAGACATTTGACTGCTCTAAACATCGATCTACACACGATCTGTTGTTCTTTTCAGTCCAGGTTCAGTATCCACATTCACTAACCTTGCACCATCATCCAGAATCAGACCAATGCGAACTGAGGTACCATAACTCTGTATGGATTTGGGTTTCAGGCAAATAAACAAGGTCTCGTGAAACGATGCAAACACCTCTTGCACTCTTTGTCGATGTCGATGTTGGTCGTGAAGGGTAAGTGCTTCCTCACCGTAACAGGCACCGAGTGAAATGAGACGGAATTTTCCCCGACACAAATGGGACATTATTTTTTAAAATATTGGTTGTCATATCGTAATCACTGCATCAAGTCTCCGCACATCCCAAGTGCCCCAGATCAGAAGCATTCGTTAAGGTTTTCAAACCATTTGACGGCAAAGAAATCAAGGTTTGCGTGTTGTTGCTGTTGTTGTTGTGCGGAGTTCCCTCTTGTGGGGTTCGTTAATTTCATCTCTTGTGGTTCCCAGTCGGGCAGTAAAACCAAAAAGTTCGCAATGCCGACCAGTCCCAAGAGAGACGAGAGAGCTGTTTGTTGCCACTTGTTAACCATTATAAAACAACTTTGAACACAAGTATAACTAATTCATTTTCCAGTACTTGTATGTGAGTGTCTTATTATTAGTTGATAAAGTGAAAATAATTGCGAAGATAGGTGATGTCTGACCCTAAAAATGTTACGTTCAAATCCTCCTTGATGAAAAATAACCTATGAAAAGCCAACTGTAACAAATATTTCAGAATTTCAAGTATAAGATGTCCGTTTGCTATTGGAAGTAGCCCTATTTTATTTATCACATATTGTACAATAAAGTCATTTTCTCACAAATAACGTGTCGACATTCCTCAGCTATTTGAAATACAATTCACTCAAAATATATTGTTTACTTGTTCAAAGCTTGTAGCTAAGTGAATTGTTCCAGTTCTGTTTGTCGGGATATAGAGCAACATTTATGCACACGCACAAAGCAGGGCGAGTGCGATTCAATTAACCGTGATCAACCAAAATAAGAACAGACACAAGCACACAACCTGAGCACAAACAATGATTCTTTCCGACCTCGGATGGTTTCCAGATGTTCATAGAACCAGTCCTACGGATACAGAGTTGGACTCTAAGCGCGACTCACGTAAACTCCAGCTATTCAGGTGCCTGATAAATGATCACGCGAAGTGGAGAATAGGAACATTCTGAGGTATACAAAGCTGTGACTATGGGTGGCGGCCAAGGTCGTCTTTGTTTAATTAGGGGAAAGTAGACGAAACTGAGGTGATGATGATGAGCTGTTTTGACTGATGAGGAGAACACTTAAGGATACATCTTAACGGGCCTCCATCTAGGTTAGATTTTCCAACCTCTATTTCAGCTGGACAACTAATGACAGCTTATACCAGTTTTCCTTCTGAAGTGAATATTACAGGGATGCAAATCATCCCAAGAGATAAGACTTCAAGAGGATGAGTTGCTTCCATTGTATTTTAGGAGAAGAGGTTCAACCTTAGTCACTCAGTTGACGGAATTTTTAGATTCAACAAGGGAAAGTGAACACTTTCTAGCTGAAAAATGTGAGCCGGTCGTCTAAATGGCGTAAAAGAAACACGATGGATCATTGTATGAAAAATACAGACGAACTGGTTTAATCAATATTATATCTGAGCATTTCCTTGGCGTTTTACGTGGTCGACTGTTTGACTTACGCCAACGGCACAAACGTTAGAATCAGGTTGGTTTTAGACTTGGTCGAGGTCGCACTGACCACATACTCATTCTTTGCTTCAGCCGATCGTTTGATACTCTGGTGCTGCCTCTCCCTGGCAAATGTGCCAGAGAACTTTATTCCCGGAATACATTCCCTTTATGCAGATAGCCGACGTACAGTTCCAGTTCACGCCTCTCTTATGCCCGATTTCAAAACGAAGAGCCATGTTCGTCGGGGTTGCTGTTTATCAGCTTTGCTATTTAACTTCGCGATCGATTTGGTTCTGGAAACAACTCAGTCTTCATGCGTGGATTATGACATATAAATACTCCTAGATAGGTACCGTAAAGTGAAGATTCTGGTAGGTTTTAAGCTTTACATAATGGTTTGAGTTGCTAGTGTGGTTGTATTCATCATATCTTTTCATATTCAAATTGCAAAACGTCATTGTAGGATTGGGTTGGTCCAGTTCTCCAACTCACTCAAACAAAGGAACCAATAAGCTAGCTTAGACCCACTTTGCTATTTGAGTATTTACATGCCACCTACTGGACGCATTACAGATCAAGTGTCGGTACGCAGACATCAGGTTTGGTTGACATTTGCCATCTTGACACACATCTGGTGAAGCCGGCAAACGCTTCCCAGACATTCATAGGACATGCATCACCCAGATGATGCACTGAGTTACGCGTGTATAATGTCTGCCGAAACAAGCGGTATTTGGAGGAAGGTCGAAGACGTTCAAACTAAAATCTCGTTTGAGGGAAGGAAATCCCTGACCAGGGGATCTGAGCATGTCCAAAGTCTTAGCATAGTCGAATACCGGGTTACAGGATACCATCTTAGAATCTAGTCACTATCGCTACCCTCGCCTCGTTTCCTTCTTTTCTTTTTCATTTTACTTCTTTTTATTGAATATGCAAGGATACAAATAATTTTCAGGAAGGGTTAAGTGGCCAATCAAAGGGCTGCCATTCAACGTACAATGGGGGAATTTAGGCGGTGGAGGTGGGATTCGAACACATCCACGGGGTGATATTTTAGTGACGTTACCACCGGGCCCCCACCGCCACTCGTTTTGTCGGTAGGCAGCTTTGTCTTCTACCGCCTGAATGCCATACTGTGATTTTTTGCAGTTCGCCGCTGGAAGTACCAATATGAAACAGTTGGTTGCGGTAGGTATAACGAATGCTTCACTTTATTTTCATTGCACCGATCTCCATAATAAAACAAGTGTTTGGTGAGCCGGTGATTGAGCTTCGGTTGATTAGAACCACAGAATTTGACATTTTTTATCCGCACCTCTGTGCGAATAAATACACAATTTTTTTTCTGAAAATTGTGAAAAACCGTCCGACCTAGAAATTAGTTAAACATAACGCGTCTTCTCTTGTCGGATGGAGCATTTATGAGGATGTAACAGTCAATGCTCAATAACAACCATTTATATTCAGTGTCAACTTAAACCGGGGTGTTATTTTAAAATGTTGAATTTTATTTTTCGAATAATGCTCGTGAAAATGGTATAGCAATGCTTCTCTTATCCGTATGAGCATCCACACCCTAACCGGCCGTCAAATGTAGGTACCACATTCCGAAATGTTTGCTGCTGAAAGCGATTGAAAAAGTATGATGCGCTTTTCGTTTGAAAAACAAAACGCATCCATTTCAGTGAATTTGTTTTGTTCACATTTACCAGAAATGAATAGCCATTTGCAGGATTTGACATTTATCCTCCCACGCTGGTGGTGCGGGGGGTGGGGGGGGGCAGGAGAAGTCACATTCCGCGGTTACGAAACGGTATTTGGTGGGCACCTGAAAACCGGTTTCAATAGCAGCAGCTGTTTGCAATCCATTTTAATCCCGAGGAGGACCCGCTTGTCATGACCCACATGAACGAAACGGACAATGCGATTGTCTTAGTGTACATGCGCACCACTGGGACGATAACGACAAAAATATTTGAGGCACACAGACGTGGCTGAACGGCTTTCACAACCAGATCTAGACTATGACCGAAAGTATCGCTTAACGAAAATTCCGGTTGGGGATAGCAACTTATCCACGACTACTCTGACCCGCCTCTCCTCTTGTACTGTGCAAATACATACCCATGGTGAATTCGGTGATCTGCGTGCTGTTATGTCCGGGCAAAGTTCCCTTCCCATCACCAGTAACCCGATACCTTTACCCGCTGATGATTGCACACGTCCACACACACACTGCACCATTCGTTCCCGGGCCGCAGAGTTGTGACTGATGGTGATTGTGATGGTGGGGATGGGACAAAATGCCACTGGAAGAAGGTGAAATGACAGGCAGATAGTTGAACGTTTTCTGCCCTCAGTGACCGGGGACAAACATCACGAACCTCGAGAGAGACGCACTGGATGACCAGGCTGAGGAGTTCTGGGAGAATTTATTTGGTCACTGCTAGGAATCTGGCGCCAACCACTTCATCGGTACGGTTCTCTCTCTCTCGTGCGTGCACCCACCCGCGTAAGCGAAGTTTCGCGGTGATTACAGTGAACCCATCCATATGTCATGCATTAGGAAGATGCCGGTTGCATGGCTACTTGTCGGATTGTTTGTTTGTTTGTTTGTGTAGCTGGCTCTGTTTGCATCTCTGTCCGCACTGGTTAGCCGTTTGTGGTGTGGTACAGAACATGGGTGTCCGACAGTGTTGATGACGGTGCGTTGGTGGTGGTGCCAACATTGACAGTGGTGGAAATGCTTTGGCACAACTGACGCCAAAACTCCTGTGTGTTGGGCGCGGTTAAACAAGGATTTGTGAACTAGTCTTTGTGTGTGTGATCGTGTACGTGTACGCATGCGGTGTTCGTGTGCATGCATAAGTCAGGGGCATATCGGAGTTGACAGGGGAAATGGGATGTTTTGACAATCAGCAAAATTGTTGATGGGTTGCGTGCGATAGCAGTTAGACGAAAAGGAATTACATAGCGTATTCGTCACCCTAACGGTTCCCAATTCAAGACTGGGGTCAGGAAGAATCTGACGCTGTGCCACCCACTAAAGTGATACTTTTCCTTCACCCAAATGCCACCTACTCACTAGCGCCATTTTATTTTACGTTATTTTTTTCTAAGAGTCTGATTAGTCATCACGGAAGCTTGATATCATGGGAAATTCACTTGATAACTCAAAGGCATATTCAATGAAAAACAAGAAATCAAGTCTTGAGGCACAGAAGACGGAGTAAAGTGATATTCATGCCGACATTTCCCGGCGAAAAACGTACTACATCTAGGGTTTGCTTCAAAAATACAGGGACTTCCGTATGGCGCCCTCAAGTTATGAGAAAAGCATTACATGAAAAAGGCGGTTCCCCTAGGTCCGCTAGATACCGTACTTATCCGGTGCACTGACTCAGGGTAAAACTGTGTTTGTCTGTAACGGCCATGTCTTCACTAGTTTCTCCTAAATACAATGGATGTCAAGGTGGCCAGTTCTGACATATTTATTTTGTTTTATATCTGAAATTTATCTGGCACATACATCGCCTAATGCGTATTTGCTTTCTGCTGATCATGGACAATACGTGTAAA